GCATTTGTGTAGCTGAGATGTGTGTCTTCGTGAAAGAACATGTGGAGAGAGTCGTATTGGCATTCGCATCAAGCGCATTGCGCATTTTTCGAATTTTGGCCCCCTTCCAGGGACCTTGATTTTTACCCGCTGGCACTGACGTCTTTTAATTGGTCAGCCGGTTAGCGCGGTCGATGCTAATACTACAAACACACACACCCCTTCGGGGACTAACGGTTGTTGTTTTTGTTGTCTTCACAGCGTGGAACAACCAAGGTATCGAAATGCCCAACTGGAACCATCACCCACGCTAGGTAGGTCTGTTTCCGTCCACAGCATCACCATCATCACCACTTTCTCATGTGCCAAGAGCTCCAAGGGGCTCGAAAGGCCCAGCAACGTGCATAGCGTTGGCTGCCCCACCGTGTTGGACGTTTTGCAAGGGGGCTGCATACATTCGCGATGTCTTGGGATGGCACAGTTTTATTCGCTGGAGGAACACACGTGTGCCAATCCCACCTCACGAGCAGCGGTCCCCCAGCGAACGGGTGGGTGTGTTCGCAGGTCGCAGGAGATAATCCAAAACAAAACATATATATCCAGTGACACGGAGGTAGGGCGGGGCGAACATCGATTCTCGTTTAAACGTTCTTCTGTTGTTGGATACCCAACACCACTCACTCCTCCTCCTGTGTAGTCCCCCGGCATCAAAAGCGAGAAATATCCGGCAAATACAACAGTATTATTTACAGTTCATCTTTCCGGCAAACAAGCAAGAACGAAAAACCACCAATCAATTTTACCTCACCAAGGCGCGAAGGTATGGTACACGACGAAGAGCTCCCCCGCTGCTCGCACTTGACCAGCACATAGTTGGTCAAGCCGATGCCAAAATCCTCCCAGCCAACGACAAGGCAGCCCATCTAGACACCATGTAGGCGGAGTCCATCTAGACGACTTTAGCTAGCGTACTGCTTCCCTCTTTGAAGCAAACCCCAAAAAATAACCGAGGTAGGCATGAAGCCGAGGGGCAGACAGACGCTTCTTTTGCTCAGTATTATTCCTTTCTTCCGCGATTTGCTCGCCCCTTCCAAAACAAGCCGAACAACGGTTTTGTCGCGGTCTCCGCGTTGATTTCGACGCACGCGCGTTCTTCAAAACGACCTGAAGCGACCGAAACACACGCAGCAAACCCTTACCCCTCCTCTATCCCGATTGTGTCGATTGTCTGACCAAACAAGAACACATGTACAATACGAGAGGCAGGGGAACATTCGGGTTTGGAAACCGGGATAATTTTGTGGCGATCGGGGATTGGCGGCGGACTCTCTCCATTACGCGTCCCCGACATTGGCATCTGGTCTATCGCGGCAGACAATACACGCCCGGCGTGGAGAAGAAAACCTTGACCGTGGCGGGAACAATCTGTAACCGGTCAACTTGCAAAGCGTCACCTCTCTACGGGCGGTGTCTGGCCTTCTCCTTCGAAAGCAACCACTACGACCCTGTGTTACAGAGGAGTGAAAACAAACACCTCTATGCTTGGCTGAGACCCAACCAACCATCCCTACGGCAAAAGAGTAACGGGAAACAAAAGGGAGCACACTCCCGCTCTCCTCTCTGGGCACCGTGCACGCACCTCACCGGAAAACAAAAACAAACAGTAAAATCACGAGATTATAATAGACACCGGAAGAAGAATACTCTCCCTCCCAACCCTTCCACTCCGACCTGCTTGAAAGTGCCCGCAAGTGCTCGACAACACCAGGATCCTCTCCTGTGTCCTCGCCCACTAGTGGGCGCTACAACATACTCTCAGTCCGAGGCTCTCGACTCCATTGGCCTAGACACAAGCAATATAACATACTAGACAACAATACGCGCGGAGTGCCTTGGCAAGCGTCTTAAATGACCACATTCCCGCTTAGCCCCCCGCCCCTCCCAAGTAAATAATAATGTTCGTGACTGCACGCACCCCCCTTTGTCCCCCTCCCCTCGAGCACCCTGTCTTGTAGACTATAGGCGGTAACATCCCGACTTTTCATCACCCAGCACTCAACACCACAGGCGGCAGCTCGGTCAACGAGATCATCACGAAAACGACGAAGATCATGGCAACAAGGACGTAACAAAACACGTCCCCGCCCCCTCCCAGAATACATCCGATCTATCATAGTACTCAACAGCAACAAAATCTACCGAAACAGCCACAGCATCATAACCGACCTTGTTCGATAACCGCGACGGGGAGAGATCAGGTGGTCTCTACGACGGCGTTGACATCTCGCCGGCCATCAATGCCAACAAAAGGTATTCAGTGCCAGGTGAAAACACACACCGGCTGCATATCTAAGCACTGGCGAACCTCAGGTCCGCTTTCGCCTTCGTACATACGCTTGTAATCGATCCCGACCCCAAGCGCCAGACCCCAAGGGCCAACAAATACCACGAACAACAGTGTACCGAAGAGTCAAACCGTTGGCGACTTCTGTCGGCGGCAAGACAACAGCTGGTCACAGCACATCTACACCCACTACAGTAGTGCTGTGAAGCAAGTCCCCGCCGCCCCGCCGCCGCTGCTACGCCCGTCCCAACCACAGCACTCGAAGCTCTCCGATATCGTCTCTCGAACAAAAAATAACCCTCCCCATCTTCACGTCACGCCACGGTTGCCGCCGCCTCCGCGATCAGTAGACTGTTGGTGCAACAACGACAGCCGTGCCACGCGAGAAGTTGCATCCGCCTGCTGGCCCTCGGTCGCCGCCGCCGCCGCCGCAGCAGCAGCAGCAGCAGCAGCAGCTGCCGCTGCCGCCGCTCCCCCTCCGCCCTCCCTGAGGGCCTTCCCTCGACGGGTCTCCACCGACAACCCCCCGGGGGCGCCTCTGCCGCTGCCCCCTTGCAGCGCGGAAGCCGGCGGCGGCGGCGGCGGCGAACCTTTCTTGCCCGCTACAACGTCCTCGTTTGCTCCCTCCGCCATCGCAGCGCCGTCTCTCCTTCGCAACCCCGACCGCTTCCCTGCCACCGACGGGGCCAATGAACCGTCACCAGCCACCCCTCCTACCGGCAGACCTCGACTCCGACCCCGCCGGAGGCCTCCCCCTCCTCTTGGCGCCTTTACACCTCTTTTGCCCTTTGCACCCTGCGCGCTAGCAGCGTCTCCTCGATGATCCCCCCGCTTGCTGCTGTCAACGACGTCATTCGGAGAGTTGCGGCGGCTGCTACCGCCGCTGCTACCGCCGCCGCTAGGGGAAGCGTCGTGGTGACGGCACCTGCGATGTCGTGGCTCGCTGCACCCTCCCGCCGCCGCCGCCGCCGCCGCCGTCCCAGGCCGGCCGGGCTCTGACCTCGGCCTTAGCAACTGAGAGGGAGACTCGCCCAAAGCCCCAAAGCACTCGTCCTCGTTACTGTAGTCGTCAGACGCCGCCGCTGCCGTTGCCGCCGCCGCTGGCAACGGCATCGTGTAGCCGTGAACGCCCATCTGGCGGTGGGAATCGCCGAATCCACCGCCTCCGCCGAAGGCGCTAGCTATCCCTCCGGCACCGGCGCCGAAGTCGCTGGCGTACGCCCTACCGAACGTCCCTTCTATGGCTCCTCGCTCGTCGTCGATGTGGTGCCCTTGCGAGAGGAACAGGCTTGACATCGCATCCGACGACACCGCGCTCTTTCCATCGGCGGGGGTAGTCGCAATGACGGCGGCAGCGGCAGCAGCAGCGGCGGCGGCTTCCGCCACGGAGGAGGAAAGCTGAGATTGCATCGCGTCAGGCGTCGTGAGGATCGCGCCTCCCTCGCAGCCGGACCGGTCACCGACAACGACCCCCGGGACGCCGTCGGCGGAAGCGGCAGCTTCGCCGGACATGGAGTGGTCGTCTCCGTCTGCATCTTCGCCATCTTTCGCTGCTGCTGCTGCTACTGCTGCTGCTGGCCTGCTGCTGCTGCTGCTACTGCCGCCCCCGTCGTCCGTCATCGCTGCTGCCGCCGCCTTTGCTGCGTCTGCTGCTCCCGCTGCCGCGGGAGCATGTGACGTCGGGTGGTGGTCCACAACGAACGGGTGCAGCAGCGCTTCCGCCGGCGTTATCCTAGGGGAGGGGAGAACGACCGTGGACAAGGGGGGTCACGCTGTTGCTCTCGCCTTTTCGGCATTCAAGGAGAAAACAAGCTGCGCCTACTTGGGGAGACGGTAGCTAATTCGTCTCCTCCCCCCGTTGGCCTAGGTTGTTGGATCTTGTGTGTTTCTGCTACTATTGCTTGGAGGGAGTTGTGACCCAGTGTACGAATTTCGGTGGCTGTGCATGCAGCGGTGACGCGAGTCGCCACCTCCTCTAAAACGGGAAAAGTGTCGAAACGAACTAAACTTTGTGAGGAACGACGAGACAACCTCGCACGAATACACTTGGACGATGACCGAATGACACAGGAGCATTCCCTCCCCATCTCGTCGCACAAAACATGCATCTCAATACGAGGCGTCGAACGATGCAATTCATCGCTTGCAAACACCAGCGCTTTAGGAGTAGCTGTTGCCCGTTCTCACCATGCATACTCGGGGGCTACAAGGCGGTGGAGCAGACAAAACACATCATGCTGGGTTCGCCCGCCTTTACGAAGTTCAAACCTGCTATCTCACTCCCGCCTCCTAGGGCACACAAAAAAAAAACGGTTTACTTGGTGCCAACAAGCGGACGCAGCCTCTCTCGGTGTCGGTCCAACCATACCCCACACCGCCGCCATTGTCGAGCTACCTTGTGGCACAACGCTGCAACCATGGTAACCACAGCGTGCGCATCAAGCAAGACAGCTCCAGACCTATCATTCCGAAGCTCCCATGTACCGTGCCACAACCGCCGTCACGGGTTTCCGGGTCGGGTGGCTCTCACCGGAAAGTTCTCGACCAAAGAAATAAGCCCAGTATGCAGTCGGTTGACCTCCCATTCACGGCAACCCATCCTCTTCAAAAGTTTCAACAGGTGTGGCTATGCTTTATCTCGAACGGGTAGTCTGTCGTTCTTCGATAGTATCCATATTTCCTGGAAAATTCTGACTAGTTTCTGTCCCTCACCTCGTCTCGGGCCTTTGGTCCAGCATCCGCTCCACCAAGTTGACGAACAGCCCGTACGTCTCTGGGTCGTGGCCGGCCTCCCCTTCCCTCCTACCGCTTGGCCCTCCAGAAAACACGCCCACCACTTCCGACAGCGGCACCCGGGGTACATCTCGACTCTCCCCCCCGGTCGTCCCCCCGCTGCCGCCCGCGCCGCCGGCTCTCGCTCGCTTCTCGAGAAGGTTTTTCCGTAGTCGATATCGCGGCCTGCCCGTGTTGCTCGTTGGACTGGCGTTGTTGTCCGTGTTCGTACGCCCGTCAGGCGAAAACTCGGCCATGTTGTGGTCGCTATCTTCGTCATCCTCCTCCTCCTCCTCCTCCTCCGCCCTGTCTTCCGCGCCCCCCTTTCCCTTCCCTCTCCTGTCTTCCGCCCAAGCTAATGATGCGCCGCCGCCGCCGCCGCCGCTACCGCGACTTGTGCCGGCACCTCTCGAGTCGTCCCGTTTTCTTCGCCGTTGCCGGGCGCTGGGACTGCGGTGGGTTCCTCCCCTCACCTGTCGCATCGAGCGGGTGTGGGGGTTGCGTTGGACGCCGAGCTTGTCGAAAAACATTTCATGCAGTGGGGAACATCGGTTGGCGACAGAGGTAAAATGAAGTCAAGGCCGAAGAGGGTTGCTGGGGGAACATAATGCACGGGACCATCAAATTCGATGTTCGAGAGAATTGAACAAGATGTGTGGATGAGCAGCCTTCCGTCCGCCTTTTCGCTAACTACGGAAGGGGGTACACGGAAAAGAGGGGGGCGGGGGGAGGGGGTACTCATAGTCGTGCATGCCGTAGTCGTTAGACCATTAACCTCGCATCCCTACAAAGCCGGGACGGAGCACGCCGGGTTCTCACCGGACCAGGCTCTCACATCACCAAGCGCGAAGCGCCGTGAGGTATTTGGCGAGTCGCATGAAGGGTGCGCTGCATCCTGCTAAGGGTGTTCGGCATCTTGCGCTTACTTCCTTGCGTACGGATGACAGCTGCGTATGACTTAATTTATTTTCTGGCGCTTTCACTTCCAGAGACAGTTGTAAGTACTGTGTAACTGCCCCTTGACCATTTCAACACAACGTGGTGCGATCATCCCCCTTGCGCGGAGTGAGGGTTGTCGACCCCGCACAACATGATCTACTCGACCACCATCATGATTACCGCCGAAAAAAAACATTGGAAAAAAAAAACGGTAACCTGGTTGCCGAGTTCACGAAGTGAAATGGCTTGCTCTACAACGTCGTTGCCACGCGACGAAAACCCAACCCCGACGGCAAACACCGGGGGGGGCGGCTTGTTTTACAACGTCGTTGCCAAGCGATGAGAACCCAACCCCAATGGCAAACACCNGGGGGGGGGGGGGGGGGGGGGGGGGGGGGGGGGGGGGGGGGGGGGGGGGGTGATTGGCCTCGAAAACAACGCACTTGAGGAACAACAACCCACCTTGCGGGATGATCCCCGGCTCACGTCCTCCACGTCGCTACCCCCCTCCCCGCCCGCCCGCCCTCCACCGCCTCCGTCGCTCCCAGAGCATCCCCCGCCGTCCTCGTCCATGCCGTCGACATCGTTGTCTTCGTCCCCGCTGTCGCTGTCGTCTACCTCGAAAAACTGCCCTCGGTGCGTCGAAGGTGACCGTTCTACGACATCGGGTGGGGTCTGGTGCGAAACGGGGGGCGCCATGCAACAAATATACCAAGAACGGGGTGGGGGGCATGCGGAAGGTAAGGCACCTGTAGCGCTTGTTCGGGACAAGCGTCGGGAGGTAGCACAACGCTACCGTTAGGCCTGGCTGGGGTTCATGGCCGGCTCAGGGTTGGTTGGGTGAAGGCTGAACAAAACGGGTAGAGCTCCCAACAGTCACAAACTGTTGCGGTGATTCTCGGGAAGTGGTAGACTGTTGTCTCGACTCACCACTCCCAAGACGGACACAATGCGGCACATCTGGTCGAACTGATCCACTCCCGCAAACAGCGGCTCTCCCGTGTGCATCTCCACCAAGATACACCCCAGCGACCACATGTCGATCGCGGTCGTGTAGGGCAGCCCCAGCATCACCTCGGGGGACCGGTAGAATCGAGACTGGATGTACGAGTACATCTGACACCGAGATGAAAAACAAACGGACAGCCGAATCGACGACGTGGGCAGCGGAACCAACCGTGCGTGAGAAGCGACAAGGTATTATGTTCTGTTTGTACCTAGTTGCATCGAGCAGACGGAGGCGGCTCTCTCTCTGCGGGGGGACAAGTAGGGGCTATGTTGACACGATTTCTAGTGAAGGATATACGCTACCAACAAGAAGGATGTACGGTACAGTAATATTGACCGGAACGTTGACCTTGATGTGAACGGCGGGTACTGCAATACGGTTCCGAAACATGTCTAGTCGAGGAGTTCATGGGGTTTGGGAGCGACCGATCGAGGTGCGTGCGTCAGTTTGACGAAGCGCATCAAAGCGACGAAGAGCAACAAAGCCACGCAGCACTCCGCACAAAATTTTTCGAATCCGGTCCGCGAGGACACCTTTGTGTTTCCAATAAATCACACGTTCAATACCATGGCGGAACTGCAACGATAGTCTTCCTGAACAAACAAACAAGACGCGCACCCTTGGAGAAAGAGAGAAGAAAAATCCGACAAACAGACGCCCCGCTTTCTGCGTGGACAAGTGCTACTGTACCGCATTAACTCTGATGGATAACCACATGGATTTGATGACCAAGCACAATACGGGTGAGGGTGATCACCTTGTTGTTCGAGCGGCAAGAGCTTCCGAAGTCGATGACCTTGATGTTGGACCGCTTGGCGTGCTGGAGGAGAATGTTCTCCGGCTTGAGATCGCAGTGGATGACGTCCACCTTTTCCAAAAAGAACAAATATAACAAGCAGGTGGAACATGATCGAGGTCATCTTGAAGTGGATCACACCCACCTAATAGGATAAAAAAAAATTTGCGAGGAAAGGCCTGCTTCCTACATATGCCGCAGTACATGTAAACAAACGGAAGGCATCTTAACCGAGAGAGCACCCACATGTACAACGCAGGCAGCTGTACGCAGCGGGTAACATCGGCGCGCGGGGGGGGGGGGGGGNGGGGGGGGGGGGGGGGGTTGGCCGGCACAGGGCGGGTTAAATCTCTTGCAACAGATGGACTACTGGAATCACGTTGTTATATCTGCTCTGGAGTAGGGCGAGTTCCTATAGTGCCGGAGAAATCGGCCAGGAACACGCCCTCCCGAAAGGGGGCCCGCGACTGCTGAATCTCCGAGTTGCATGCCTCACCTGAGGAAGGGACAGGAAGGCCAGCGCTCGCAGGAGATGCCGGGCGAATTTTCTCACCAAGTGCAGCGATACTCCCTGCGATCGATCAAACAGGCGCACGACAGCAAAGCAGGTTCAGTGTACAACGACAACCACGGCAACAACTACAGCATTATGTTACGCATGCGGGGCAACGTGCTACAAATCAGGCGCTTGAAAATAATGTTCAACAGAGCAACAACAACATCAATATCAACAATACCAACAGCAGCACCAACGGCAACATCAACATGGTACGGCAAGGCGAGGCACGGTACGGCACTTCTTACGGCATACCCGTGTAATATGCCCGACACAACGCTGTGGGTAGGCTTGTACTCGATAGTATTTTGCCCTGTGTTGTGTGGAATACTACACTGAAAGTGGACCGGAAGAAAAGCTAGTGCATCTTGTAAGTAAATCGAAACAGAAGCCTATCGAGTGCAAGCCTAGCCGTGGGCGAAGCGCGGCTCAAGACCGCAAACACACACAACAAAGGTGGAACAGCGTACCTGAAACTGCGTCGATCGCAACAGCTCGTAGAGGTTGAAGGACAGGATCTCGAACACCAGGCACTGATGGTTGTGGGTCATGAACTCGTCCAGCATGCGTGCTGCGATCGTCGCAGCGGTAGATCGATCAATCGCACACACGCACCACACAACGTGGAAACGCAGGAAAGCACGGGTAAGAAAAACTCTCTCAAGTGTACGGGACACGACACCCCACGGGCGCAGGGCTGATGGGTGTCTGTGGCCCAAAAAACGCGACGTGTCCTTGGTACCGGTTGCTTGGTCATTGGCCAACAACAAGCGTGTCCATACTAGCTCAGGAGTCGCTGCTAACTTGGCGTCGTTGGGTGTATCCTCGTGTAATTGCTCTGAATCCGGCAACTGACAGGACCCTCTCTGTCCTCTCAACTCCCCCGACACCGTCCGATCTGGGGCCCCGCAGACTACAAAAGCGTAAAACCACATACTCGAAGTACGTATTTCGTCCCGCTGACTATTTACACTTATCTCAATCATGCGGTACGTTGTTTTTCTTTCGCTCACCGCAGTTGTATTTTCCTTCCGGGTCTCTCTCCCTCAGCAGCATCAGTATGTTCACCTCCACCTTCGCCTGCATCGTGAACGGCCTCTTGCTCTTGATCACCTGAAACCAAACGAAATCGCCCACAAAAAAAAAATCAAGTTCGGCTTGAATACAAGTATACCTTGCGTCATAGGAAGACGCTTCCATCCATGATGCGGTACAAGTTACTCCGCTCGCAAATAAGCGGTAAAATGGAACCGTACCTGTGATCCTTCTGCAGTGGGCTGCACATTGCCATCAAGGGGTGATGCCAGATGAGAACCAAAGACTAACAAGGACCAACTCACAGCTGACTGCCAGCTGCTACCAGTGACATTCCCCAAGATCAACAGGTCACACAGGTGACGAGCTCTTCACGCCAACAGTCCAGCAAACCTCGCCGTACCAACGAAAAAATTGTCCACACTCTCAGAATGCACCCCATACATTTTCACCTTCAGAGCGACGTAGACTTTGTCCTTGGAATCCCACGCCTTGTATACCTTGCCAAACGAGCCTGTCCAGCGATCGAGAGACCGAACAAACACGAAACGCTTGTCAGAACAAGGCTGTAAGGATCACGTTCAAGTGCCGCGAGTGAGCTCGTATGTGTGAAGTCCCACAACATGTGCACAACAACACAGGGACGTGGAATATAGACAACTAGACAGAGAGAGATTAACCACGAAAGAGACACAGAGAAACAGACAGAGGAACAGAAAGAGGGAGGGGCCCGTAAACCTGGGGGTAGCCCTAACCAACACTTACCCTACCTTCTCTTACCGAACCAATCACCGGTCCCAACTCGGCCACCTGACTCACCCTTCCCGATGGTTTCTCTAACGGCGTACCGCCCCTTAAACACCTCCCCCTCGTGCACGATGTAATCGAAGTTCTCATCATCCATGCCGTAGTTGTACACGCCCCCCTGCCTGGCCGGCGCTTTCCCCAAACCGCCCCCCCGTGCCGCCGCCGCGCCCGCGCTAGCTCCGCCGGCCGCCCCCCCTGTGGCAGAAGACGTCGGCGCTGAGGCCGCGGCAGCTTCCTGCGACTGCTGCCTAGACTTCTCGGCGTAATATCTACCGATGGCGCCGATTGGGATGCGAGGTTTCGCGTGCAAAGAGGGCAAAGAGCATCGGGAAAAGCAAAGATGCGTTTCCGTCCAAAGACAGAAAATCTTGGAAGCGGAACGAAGGTGACCGGTCCACGAGAAGCAATGGGGGGTTGGTGCACCTACGTAAACTGGGGTGACACGTTCAACTGCGCCCCAATACAGACGCACGGGCGAGGTGCTTGGTCTTCAATTCAGCGAACGACCACAGGAAACACAACAACATCAATAGTTCCTCCTAAGACGCCTGGAGTCTTCCCTGAAGACAAAAACTCCAGTTCGAAGTCACAAAAAACATGTCACAAAAGCGCAGGGGCATAGCTGGCTGTCCCTTCCCACTCTCGGGAGGGTTTTGTGCCGTGTAGTGGCCAAAGTAAGGGCTGGCTGTTGTACGTGTGGCGGTTACAATAGTTATGGCTGATGCCCGTGTCGGTGGTGGTAGGCGGCGATATGTATGTACGACACCAGATTCATGTCCCGTAGGCAAAAACACGCAGAGATAATAACCAAAGCAAAATGGCCGTGATATGACGACAACCGAATGAACATGTACATGGTTCGAACGAGCAGCAAGTCGCAAGGCAGCGGGGGGAGACAACGCGGTCTGCACGCAAGATGTTGCATACTATATTTATCCAACATCACACCCAAGCCTATCCAATACAAGGCAGACAATGTGCAAAGTTCGCCTTCGAAAGGACGTGGTATGCAATACAGATAACATCGTCTTTGGGACGTTCGATTTTTCGTTTTTTCACGAGTTCAAAGGTATCGTTGAGCTCATCGCACATGGAAACTGTTTCGGCACGAGCGTATGGGTGCTGCTAATGAAACTATCATGACGGCTCGAACGGCCCTGCTGTCTCTGCCTCATGATCATACACACACACATACACACACCTTTTCATCTCTCGGGACACAACATGCACGCTCGCTCACCTCTGGTTGATAAGCTTATAGGTGTCGATAAGGCTAACGCTGAGCTTGTGCGCAAGCCGCTCCGAAGCCGGCCGTCCCCACCTCGCCCCCACCCCGCCATCGCTACCCGCTCCCGCCGCCTCGTGTATTCGAGACCCTACCCCTTCCGACGCCGCTGCGCCCGAGCTCAACGAACAACCGGCCGCTGGCACTCCACTGCCACTCGCGTCGCCCGCGGCGCCTGCTCCCCAAGCCTCCGGCGACTCCGTTTCCATCGTGTCTCCGGGGCTTGACCCTTGATACCTCCCTCCTCTGCGCGCGGTTGTGCCGCCGCCCGCCCCTTGTTTCGACAGCCCTTCCCCTCGACGTTGCTGTCGCTTTCCGGCTGCTGCGTTGTGGCTGGAGCTCCCTCTTGGGAGGTGCTGCCGGCGGTGCGGGTGGCGCTGATCTCGGTACCCTTGCTCCTGCTGCCGCCGCTGTTGATGTGGTGACTGGCTATCCCCGACGCTGCCACCAGCCGACGGCCTTGACCGTTCGCTGACCTTGTCCGAGCCTCTCGGTTGCCCCCAGGCCTCCTGCCTTGCAACTCCACCTCCGGGTGTACGGACGCTCCCCGCGTCTGCAGAAGCGCCGGCAGCTCCCACCCCTGTACCGCTGGCAGAAGGCGAGGCTACGCCTGCTCCTCCTCCCCCTCCACCTCCGCTCCCGCACCTCGCCCCCGCCGCTGCTCTACTGTTCCCGCCCCCTCCTCCTCCCCCTCCCCCTCCCCCGCCCCCGCCCCCGCCTTCCCCTTCCGCAACGCTCGATCTGGCGCTGTAAACCCCGGGGACTACTTCGGTGCTGCTTACAGGAGAGGCGACGCCCCATTGAGATGCATCTGGAGACCTGTGGTCGAGGTCTGCAGCCATGCAGCGCGGGGCAACCCCTGCAGGCCCGTTGTCTGCGGGAAGTGGATGCCTCCCGAGCGCAGCCGCGTGGCGAGCGCTGCCGCACGTGTTTGTTTCCGGTTACTTGCCGCGCGTGCGTTTCGCTCGTTCGCTTGTTTTGCGACGACAAAGGTCAAGTGATATTTTTATGGTGCCTGAGAGAGCGAGCCAATGGGAGGCATCAGCGGGCGGGCAGAGGCGGCGACGAAAGATAAACAGGCACAGGAAGGCAAGACAAGAGACCAAAAGAAGTGGAGTGAGAATATAGCGGACACAAGACGAAGGCAGCCTGTAAGTTTGCAAGAACTTCGAAGGAGCATCGTCTGTTTCATCACACTTCAAGAAGACGCTTCCCGGGCTTGCACACTTGAGTAATCGTGACGTAGGAGGACCAAGGGCAAACAACAACAGTCAAGCATGGCCAACAACGAGTAGAACCAATACCAGTTCATAACGGCAAAGAGTGAGCTGCCTACACCTAGACAACCATCGGCAACACCAACAATCGCCGTGCCGACACCAACAATCCCGCGCGAAATCCGGTCGGCAGGACCCGCTCCAGCATGCAGACATTCATACCTCACCTATTGTACGCCTAAAATAACGACATAACAATTCTGGGTCTACAAACATACAGCTGTGAGTCCTGCCCCCCCCCAAAAACATCCCACCCCCGACATCTGCTGCACGACCTCAACTGATATCACAACCTGCGACACTGACCCTCCAGCCGTCCACCACCCGGGGGGTCGTGATGGACAAGACACGAGCACAAGAAACACCAGAGACAGACGTCGCAATGCCGCGGTACATATGCATACCTCCGTGGTATCGAAATTTATCTATCACGTACTTCCTGGTTCAACACGACCGGGCAATATTTCTTGGCGAGAACATCGATCGCACGACCGCAACAACAAACGCGAACGTAAGCATGCTACTGCATGTAGCTGCAGAGAACCAAGTCCCTCTCCATCAACAACAGCCGACAACATCACCGACAACAGAGACGCGGAGCAACAGCTAGTACCAGAGGCTACAACCGTACGAGGGCCAACATCGCAACAACCTAATGGTGCTAGCGGCCCACCATCTGCAAGTAGACTATATCATAAATCGCACCTGCGAGTCATACAGGCACACACACGCCCCGAAACGGAATTACAGATCCGGATGTATGCACACAAACGGCCATGGGAAGCACAAACAGCGCGCCTGACGACACCGGGACCAACAAAGCGACAAATACACGACCGTGCACGGGATGTAGGAGGGACTCGCAATTCAGCAGGAGCATGATACTAGAAAGCAGTTCATCGAGAGTAAGATGCCGAAACGGAATGCCGCCTTTGCCGTACTCTTTACTGCTGCGGCCATAGGACACGAAAAAAATTTGCGGTACTGCTGTATATTGCCCTTCCGAAAACTGTCACCTGGGCGGATGGTGCGTGGTTTGCCCAGCGCGCGTCGAATCTGTTGCCCCTGAGCCGTTGTACAGGATTTTGCTTTGTCGAGATGCTAAATAGCAAGAGGTATGATACACAAACTAAAGAGCCTTGGTTAGTTATGCAACTAATCTACGATACCATCCCTCGGCTGACTAGCCGGTTTGTGGGCACAATAATAGCAAAGTCGGAGAGAGAAGGGCAAGAGCGAGGAGCAAGAAGGAATACCAAGACGCAGCAGCCAGAAGGCACGGTCTTGACTATCCTTTAACGGCAGGAGGTTATAGTGCGCCGCGCCGACTCTCCACACGAAAACACACGGTGATCAAGGCCTTGCTACGAGGAGAAGAACGCGAGCCCTGCTACCACCCCACAGCGCGCAGCAACGCATGCTATTTATTGTAAGGAAAAAGCTCGTGTTGTCAATTTTCTTCCTCTTTCCGTCAGTGCCGTCGATGAATTGTTGGAGTGACTCTTTCCCTGTCTAAAGGGTCAGACTGTACGTCTCCTTTGTCGGGGGGACATGGCACACCAACCCCCCCGCCAAATAATATTGCACCAGGACCAGTCCAGGTCAACGCCAACAGCACCACTCGGGAGCGCGCCCAGGGGGAGAAATAGCGGATTATCTGGTGCCATGGAAGGTCCATCCCAGCCTTATTCGCTACGGGCGGGGCACCAACGCGCCCCGCCGCACGAGAGCTTGTTGGTTTGGACAAGCACTTGAAGGTCGGGAGCAAAAACACAGAAACACTCTTTTCCTTTCAGTTAGAGGACAAGAGAGAGAGCCGCGCGCCTTCAGACACTTTTTTTGGCTCTTTCCAACATAAGACAGACGTCAACCTCGCCGACTGTTGTTTTTCGCGCGAACATGGTATGAAGAAGCGGTGGAAATCTGTGTGCCCTCTCGGCTCTCGGCCCGCCCATGCGATGCTCTCCTCTGCGACATGCATGGTCTCACCTCAAGACCTTTCCCTCCCTCTGCCTCCCGTTTGCTCCTGCTTGGCCCAGCCAGCTGACGCGTGCCACCGACCCTTTCCTTTTCCCAACGTCTCCTCTCGACTTTCTCTCTCTCTCTCTCGCCAACGCCTTCCTGTTGAATTACGCTTGCGCTTGTGCGACCACGCCACAACAGTCACGCCAGCCCGACACCCCGTCGCCGATGCTCCTGGCCTCCCCTTGTCCCGATCTACGACTTATCCTGCTGTTGCGTCTTTGCCAGTAGCAGCAGCAGCAGCAGCAATCCGTGAGTTTACTCGAGGCGACCCCGCCGGCGCCGACAAGCGAAAATTGTTTTCGCACGACACAACTCCAACGGGTTTTCGCTGACACCTCTTGCTTCTGTAGCCTTTCGCGCTAGTGCCTGCTTCGCGCCCGCCGACCTGCACACGCCGACCTCTTCTCTTTGTGTGTCTCTCTCTCTCGCGCGCACGGGGAATGCCAAGGCTCTTCCTCCCTCCTGTCGGCTGTATCGTCCTTCCTAACAGGACAAACACAAAATCGGCTAGCTAGACCCCCACGACGCCAAGCTCATTAACGGCCAACACAGAAAAAAAAAAGTTTTGCATCCCCGGTCCCCTCCCCCCGCCCCGATCGTTGGCCTTTGGGAGTTCACACAGCAAGCTCTTGACGTTGAGGTGTTGGGCCACCGCAGTACAATGCAGCCCCGAGCGGCTTCCTCAGAGAGAAGGAGGAGGACTGTTCTGATGCGATGACAGCAGTGACGACTTTGGCCGAATGCTGGCTCAAAGCGGTGAGCAAATATCAACAGATCGTAGGCATATCGACGGAGCAAATCAGTGTAAATTTATACTTCTGAGGTGAACGGCCGTCCCTGTCTGTAGACAGCAGAAGACCCATGGTGTAACATAGAGACCGTTGTCAACTGTCAACCAAAGTGCAGGGCTTCCATTCCACCCACGACTAAGCTACAGCAGTCGCAGCGTAGTAGCCTAGATCAGCTTGATAAACGCCGTCCGTTATGCCGGGGATCGTGCGATGCTGATGCTCGGAAAATAGCCCTGCCTTCGAAAATGCACGGGTAGTGATCATCATCATCGCTACAGCAGCTGAGATGCTTCTTCTAGGCGAGGTGTGCAATGAATGCCTCCGAAATTCTAACCCTTGCTCAGAACATACAACAATCTGTGAAAGGCGATGCTAGCAGCTGTACACGAGCATGCATACATAGCGAACTGGTATGCGGTCTCGAACAGGAACCTCAATATGCAAGGGAAAGAAAGGGAACTCGTATGCAGGGAGAGGAAGAGCGCGTTGTGGAAGAGACAGCAAGATGTTGCAAGGTATTCGGCAACAGCGCGGCGGCGGGTTGCTGAATATATGCCGATCTTGACTCTTTACTGCTGAGACCCCGAAAAACCACCGTGAGTGAGCCGGCTAGCAAACGTACACGTTGCGAAGAAAGCCGTTCGTTCTGTCGCGTAAGACTAGGTAGGGCAGACGTTGGGGCTTGTCTCCGCCAACCGGCACATGTCGACAAGAATACTGTGTGCTTCTTCCACACGTTTCTCTCAAACCAACGCAGAAGTGCCACGGCCGTGTGTCAGCTTTGGTCTGTAGTCAAGATTAAATCCCTCGCAAATTACAGCAGCACACAGCAGGCCCGCAATTAAGAAAAATTAGACTATGTCAACAAGAATTGGCTCAACCTTACACAAAAAAGTAGACAACAACTTCCCAATATAACATACAGATACATACACGAGATGGCTACCAAACTGCCTTGATGAGCCTGTTACCCACAGGGGAGTTATCGTTGTATGCTGTCTGGGAAACCGTAGACATACAGGTAGCCTTTCGCTCACGCTATGGATTCATTGCTAATCTATCTTAGACTTATTTCTATAGATAGAGATGGATTTGTTGTGTGATATGAAGAAAAAAAAAAAAACAAGGCTTCGACACTCAGCCCAATCTCGGCCACCACATGAGAGATGTCCCAATAAGAAACATAATCGTGCGATACCCTCCAGATATAAGAAACAAGAGGGGTTGCTGGGGGAGCGCGTCCAATAAGAAACATCCCACTGATGCTGCTGCTGCTGCCATTTTCCCAACCCCTACCTAGCTCATGCAGTGCTAGCCCACCGTAAGAAACACCTATTTCAGCTGAGGCTCAAATTTTATTGCCGCAGCGATAGTGAGCTGAATATCTAATGCCGAGAATTACACTATTTTTTGTTTTCGCCATTTCCGATCTTTTCGCCACCCTGCAAATCGCACGATTTCTTATCATCCCTATTTCCTTTTCAAGCCACAAAGCTTTGCACTACCCGCGGGGTACATGCTTGCACGACACCCGGCGGTACTGAACTGAAAAAAAAGAAGAAGCGCAAAGTCATTGTGCTAATGTGCGTGCGGACAAAATACTCCGTATATCCCTTAAGCCCTTCGAAATCGATTGGTGAAGTTGTCACAACTTGGCATGCTCTAACCAGGTTGGTCAATGTTGCGAACGTTGGGGGTTTTCGCGCCCTACTGCTCTGCCGGCGTGGCTGTTCACCCTCACACCCCCCCGCCCGCTCATTCGAATCGTCGATCGGCTCGACCAACGCCCACGCTCCTACGGCTGCGTTCGCCTCGTCTACATCGTATGCATCTAGAGACATCTTCACACTGATGGTGCTTTGATCGTACGCCAAAACCACGCGGTAGTCGTACGTGTGGCTAGTTTGCGGGGGCGCTGCCCGGCTGATCTGCCCCAAGAACCACCCCATACCACTCCTCAAGAACACGCAACGCTTAATCAATGCGCGATTCAGCTTTTCTGGAGGAGACTCTTGAAGACGGAATCCGACCGGAAGCTCCATCGCGATGATGTCATCGTCGGAGTCGACGTCATCGTCGCTGTCTAGCTGTGACAGAGGGTCTTGCACATCGCCGTGGTCATCACCTAGCAAATGAAACGATGTGAAAAAGCCGGCGTGAGACACGCGCGTTTGAACAAATTCACAGCCCCCCACCAGTGCATGCAAAACGAGGGGCAAAGGCGAAACACAAACCGGACCTACACTCGAAAACTTGCCATCGTCATCTGCGCTTGCGTCGCTGTCGCAGCTTGATTTCACCACCGCCCGCCCCCCCATCGTCGTCGCCGACCTCATCATCCTGGTCGGGCATCTCCTCGTCACTGCTCTTGCCCCCGTCCATGAAGTTGTACGCCCCAACTACACCCTCCGGAGTGATGCGGTCATCCAACGACCCGTCTGCCGTCATCGCCAGTCCGGTCTTCTCGAACAGGCGATGGCGGTGCCCAGGCCGAGCGTCCATTCGCGCGACCGCCCTTGCAATGAATCGTGAAAATGATTCGCTTTGCACCAGCTGAAAGCTTGTTGGTCTCCCACAGGCAAAGGTTTTCCTCGTGCCCAAAAATTTCATCCAGCTCGTTACCGACTTCGACTTTGAGGAGGCGTCCATAGCCGGCATCGACCGGTTGGAGTTCGTCGGTCAACTTGGGGAGAAGTATCCGCAGCGGCGTGCTGCACTCGCCGCAAAGGAATATCTTGAACTCGTCCGTTGTGCTGCGCGTGCAGGTTGTTCGCGAAAAGGATGGACTGCGCCTCTGGAACGACACCTTCCTTCCCCCTTGATGCTGCGTAGGAAGCTGTTTTTTGCCCACGCCATGCACGTTGGGCCGTCCATCCACGCGTTCTCCTGGAAGAGCACGTCCACGCCGGGGTCGTACGCCGCCTTCTCCACCGCCGAGACTTTGCCTTTGCCGCGGAAAATGACCTCGGTCCGCATCAATTGTCGCCAGCTCCGATGCAACAGTTGACGGTGCACTGTCGCTTCTCAAGACCAGGGATCGGCTGCCCAATTTGCACTCGCAAAGCTCCCGTCTCGTCCCATGTCGACTCGAAGCCGTCNACGCCGCCTTCTCCACCGCCGAGACTTTGCCTTTGCCGCGGAAAATGACCTCGGTCCGCATCAATTGTCGCCAGCTCCGATGCAACAGTTGACGGTGCACTGTCGCTTCTCAAGACCAGGGATCGGCTGCCCAATTTGCACTCGCAAAGCTCCCGTCTCGTCCCATGTCGACTCGAAGCCGTCGACGAATGCGAGCCCAACCTGGTCGACGTTGAAACGCGCATTCAGGCTGAAGCGCCCGTAGCGGGGCGATTTCACAGGAACGATCGCAGCGCCGTTGTTCTCGGTGGCGCCCCCAGCAGCAGCCCGGCGAACGGGTGGTTCCTGCAGTAGCTGGCGCAGCCTCCTGTGGAAGCTCTTCATCTGCGGAAGACGGTCCTCCACCGACTTGTTTATGTTTGTGCGCCTTCGTTTCGAGAGATGGTGGCGCTTCGCGAACTTCCTGCACCACCGGTCCGACAGTGCGAAATCCTTCGCACGCGGGTCGTCCGGATACATGTCCACCACGAGCTTTCTCGCGTTGACTCGAATCCAGGCTGTCGACACTCTGAGCTTCCTCTTGCGCCGTTGCAGCGGCAGCGAGTGCAGCTTTTCCTCTGGGTCTCCGAACCACCTCCTCTCCCTGCCAGTCTTGAAAAGGTCTTTCTTCAAGTCATTGGCCGCGGCTGCGATCAGCTTCTCTCGTCACCGTTCCACTTACAGATGTCGGGTTGGGGAATGCCGGTCTTTCTTGCCAGGAACTGCTGGCACGACACGCCGTGAACATGCCAGATCTTTTGGGCGTGATCGGCCTCCAGCTCTCGCAGCTCCGCGACCACCGCAGCCTTCTTCCTGTTGCCGTACTGCGTCCTCTTCTTAGCCCCTCGTGTTTTCTTCCGCTTGGTGCGTTCTTCGTCCGACAAAAGGCCGTCATCCGGCAAGTCTGATGTACCACCGCCTTCGGCCCTTGGCTGTAGCTCAAACGAACAGCTCCCTCGCACGTGGTCCATTTTTCTGGCCCGCCGCAGTGGTGTGCCCGCCTCCCTCCGAGTTTTGAAAGACGACATTAAAACACCTGCCCGAACACCCGTGCCAAGGTGGAGTCGTCATGGTCCCACCCGTCGCGAGGGCGCGCCTGAGCCCTCGTCCAAGATGCCGAAGAGGAGCTGGGTGCACGGCACGACAGTATAGCGATCAACCTTGTTCGGAGGCAAAGGTCTTCGGTCAGTACAGGCACTTCAACTTGGGAGGAAGGAGGTGGTGCGATGGGATAGTGGACGCGGGTGACTTCCTCCACGATGCCATTGCGGGTACGCTTGATCTGCGAGAAAATAGTAGCAAAGCGAGGCCCGGGGTACGGGGATTTTAGAGCGCAGCAAAAAATGTTTTGTCAACTGTCCCTGCAAGTAATTTACAGACATTTTCAACGGCAGCGGCACGTGATTGGCACGCTTCGACAACAGCAGCAAGTGTCGCTGAAAAGAAAAGTTGAGCAAAAACACGAGAGCAAAACAACGGGCAGTGCCAGGATTCAAAACCGCGCCCTCGAACTCGATGATGAACCAAAAGAATCCCCCGCAAAACATTTCGTGCTTTGGTTTCTCTGCCGGCCAGATTGGCACACTTCGACACCAGCTGCAAGTGTTGCAGAAAAAAAAGTTGACAATAAACACGAGAGTAAAAAAAAGAACGGCACTGCCAGGATTCGAACGAGCGTCCGCAAACTCGATGGTGAACCAAAAGAATCCTCCACAGAATATTTTCGTGCTTTATTTTCTCTGCCGGCGAATAATGCGGGCGAGGGAGACGAAACAGGTGATGCACCGGACAAGCACATGTCATTCACGAACATGGCCAAAGGATGCAAACGCAATCTCCAACCAACTC